GCCCATCCTCAACCTCATTATGCTATTCCTTCAAGGTTATCATGCCTATATCCTTCCTTTTATTGTCAGGCTCCTAGAAAGAGTAGACCACACTGGTTGTCCATATTGCCTCATCTTCCATTCTGTTCTTAAGTCTTGCATTCTGATTTCTGACAGCCCCATTTGACTAAAACCTCTTTTTCCAAGTTACCAACACTTTTTTTTTTTAGGCAATTGGGGTTAAGAGACTTGCCCAGGGTCACACAGCTAGTGTCAGGTGTTTGGTCTGAGGCCGGATTTGAACTCAGGTCCTCCTGACTTCATGGCCAGTGCTCTATCCACTGTGCCACCTAGCTGCCCCCACCAACACCCTTAACTGCTAAATCCAATGACCTTTTCTGATTTCGTGTTCTATTTGACCTCTGCAGCTTTTGACATCATCTCCTCCTGGACAGACCCTAATGTTGGGAAAGACTGAAGGCAAAAAGAAAAGGGGAAGGCAGAGGATGAGATGGATAGATAGTCTCATGGAAGCAATGAACTTGAGTTTAGACAGACTTAGAGATAGTGAAGGATAGAAGGACCTGGTGTGCTAGATCCATGGGGGTCACAAAGACCCCCAATGTGACTGAACAACAAGAAGTTCCTGGACAATGTCTCTTCCTTTGACTTCTATGACACTGTGTACTTCCTCTTCCTGTCCTCCCTCCTTTCTCTTTTTTTTTCCTCTCCCTATCAGTCCTCTCACCCCATTTAAAAAAAAATATGAACTTGACAAGTATCATCAAATGAATATTTCCACATACAAAGAACAAAAACAAGTAATCTCTTATGTATGGCTTATTTTTAAAGTCTATATTAAAATGAACACATTACCAATGCCACCCTGTTTGTTGTCTGCTTTTTTTTTTGTTCTCTTACACATATTTTTGAAATGTTTCATTAACACGCACACTCTTTCTCATCTATTACTTTCCCCCATTCCTTCTGTAATTTTAAAATACAAAAAACATTTAATGAGCACCTACTATGTGCAGGCACTGTACTAATCAACAAGGATACAAATGAGAAAAAGAAAAACAACTGCTCTCAAGGAGTTTATGATCTACTGGGATAAGACAATTCACAAGTAAAAACGCTGTCCATCACAAGAGCAGTCAAGCAAAACTAACTCACACTTTGTGTATCTCCGTACCTATTGTTTATCACCTCACTACCAAGAGGTGGGAACCCTGCTTTGTCATCAGTCTTCTGGAGTATTGTGATGAATCATTGCATTAATTGACATTCTCAAGTCTTTCAAAGTGGTTTTCCTTTACAATTTTGTAGTCATTGTATGAATTATTCTGGTGCTGCTCAGCATAACTTCATTGTAAGTCTTCCCAGGGTTCTATGGATCTATCATGTTTTGTTGTTGTTTTATGGCACAGTAACAACTAGCTTGGGCAGCTAGGTGGCACAGTGGATAGAGTGCTGGGACTGGAGTCAGGAAGACTCATCTTCCTGAGTTCAACTCTGGCCTCAGACATTTAGTAGCTCTGTGACCATGAACAAGTATTTGTTTGCCTCAGTTTCTTCATCTATGATGTGAACTGGAGAAAGAAATGGCAAAACTACTCCCATATCTCTGCCAGGAAAATCCCAGATGGAGTTATGAAGAGTCAGATGTGACTGAAAAATGACTGAACAACAATAAATAGCTCGCAGTAACATTCTGTTACATTTCATATAACATTTTCCCAACCATTCCCCCATTTTGTTTCCAATTCTTTGATGCAACAAGAAGAGCTGCTATAAACATTTTTGTATATATAGGTTTTTTCCTTCTATATTTGATTTCATTACGAGTATATGCCTAGTAGTGATATCGTTAGGTCATATCATAGGGTTCACATGGTTTAGTCACGGTATACAGTTCCAAATTGCTTTACAAAATAGTTGGACCAATTCAGTTACCCTAGCAGTATATCAGTGTGCTTGTTGTCACACAGCCTTTAACAATTGTCATTTTCCTTTATTGTCATCTTCATAAATGTGATAAGTGTAAGGAAGAAGCTTGCAGTTTTAATTTGCATTTCTGTATCAGAGAAATTTGTTACAAAGATTTTCTCAGTTCACTGTACCTCTTCTAATTCTAACTTCATTGTTTTCACTTTTACAAATGCTTTTCATGTAATCACAATCCCAATTTTATCCATACTCTATTTGGTCAAGAACTCTCCTCCATCCATAGTTTTGAAAAGTATACCCTTCTAATTGATTTGTGATATGACCTTTTATATCTGGGTTATGTATCCTTTTGGATACCTTGCCAATACATGTAATTCTCTTGGATATATTGTCAAGATATTGGGAGACACCCTGTTTTCCAGAGCTATTCCCTGAGTTTGGCATAAAACAATCCTTTGAACTCACCCTCTGGATGATCTCACCCCCTGGCAAAATCACATAATTATCGTATTGTTTTGACCAGCACCAGGTATTCTCTAATCTAGTCCAAGCTCTGGACAAGTTCAGACAAGTAACCAAGTTCCAGTCATGACTTACAATCAAACTTGTCTCGTTGTTGTCATTGTTCCCTCACTTTGAATTTTTTGTTGTTTTGTTTTGAAGGCAGTGGGAGTTAAGTGACTTGCCCAGGGTCACACAGCTAGTGTCTGAGGCCAAATTTGAACTCAGGTCCTCCTGACCCCAGGGCTGGTGCTCTATCCACTGCACCACCTGGCTGTGCCACCTTGAAGTTAAACTTCTGTTTGATTCCTTACTCTCCTGTCTCTAGTCTGCTCTTTTCGGTTCTGGCCATCCACAGGTTAGAGGCCAGTTTGGTCCAGTTGACATTGTAGTGTATGATAGGAAGTAGCCATCTAATCCTAATTTCTGTCAGAATGCTTTTCAGTTTTCCCAAAAGCTTTTGTTGAATAGTGATTCTCTTAGTTGGTGTACCTGAGTTTAACAAACATTTCAGTACTATGATTGATTGAATATTCCTCAGTATCCTTTGCTAGATCTATATCATCTTTCTCTTGCCTACTAAAGTTGGATGTTCCCCAAAGCTCTAGTCTTTGCCTGCTTCTGTCTCTACACTTTCTCCTTTAATGATTTCTTTAGATCCCATAGGTTAACTTATCTCTTTGCTGCCTCCAGATTCTATATATCCAATATTAATCTCTTACCTGAATTCTAGTTCCCTAACATAAACTGCCTGATAGGCAGCTCCACCTGGTTGCCTGTTGGTATCTCAAATTCAATATGTCCAAAACTGAACACGCTTTCTTTTACTTTTTTATTTCTGTTGATAGTACCACCATCTATGCAGTCACCCAGGTTTCCTACTGTGGAATTATTCTTGACTTTTCCTTCCAGCCTTGTATTCATTTGCCAAATTTTTTTTTATCTTACCCCCATGGCATCTCTGGCATCTATCCCATTCTCACCACTCCTTTAGCTTTTATCTAAAAAAAAAAAAAATCTTAAATGACTCTTAATTGCCTCGAGAGAAAAAAGCAAACCCTGGCGATTAAAATGAAGTCCTTCCCTGTATGCCTCTCACCTATCTTTATTTTGTAGTACTCTCCGATGTCCTCTCCTTTTCAATAACATTGACTTGCTAGTTTTTCCCAGTACACAAAACTCCTACCTTTGTGTGTTTGCATGAGTAGTCCCCCCATGATGGAAATGTGCTTCCTTGTCAAGTTGTCTTGACTCTTGTCTTGCCACTGGACTTGGATGACTGTGGAAGAGAGTCAGGCTGACAGCTTTGTGCAACTTTGCCTCACTCAATTCCAATTCATGAGCAAGTCAAGACATCATCCTATGGTGTCATTGGTCCTCTTCAGAAGTAAAGGACAAATAGCAGCCTCGTAGAATATCTAACTTCTTTCAAAGCCCAGCTCAGGTATAGCACTGCTATAAAATTATTTTGTATTTCTTTGTAGACTTTGCATTTATTTATGTACACATTGTATCTCCTGGTGGAACATAAATTCTTTTTGGGGTTAAGGAACTGTGTTTTTGTCTTTGCATTCTTAGCCCCTAGACTGCTTACCATATAGTTGGGGCTTATATTTTTTAAATGACTCAACTTGAATTGACTCAATTTGTTCTGCTTAGTTTTTAAAGGGCAGAAATAAGAGCAGAAGGGTGAAATTGCAAGGGTAGATTTCCCTTTGACATTGGGAAAACTTAAAAAATCCAAACTGTCCAAAAAGAGAATGGATTACCTCAGAAGGCCGGCTGTTGATTAGTCATGTCAGACCCATTGTAACCACATTTGAGATTTTCTTGGCAAAGATACTGAAATAGTTTGCCATTTCCTTCTTCAGCTCATTTGATAGATGAGGAAACTGAGGCAAACAGGATTAAGTGATTTGCACAATCTAGTTAAGTGTCTGAGGTCAAATTTGAACTCAAGTACTCTTGACTCCCAGGGTAGCACTCTATCCACTGTGCCACCCAGCTGCCTCCAGGAGATGTTATTGCATTATGGGAAAGAGTACTGACTTTAGCCCTGAGGTCCTGGGTTCGAGCTCTGGTTGTGCCACCTACTTTCCTCAATTATTAAATGAGTGGGTGTGAACCAGCTGGCCTCTAAATCAAAATCTATGCTCCCCTCAATGGAGGTTTTCAAGACGAGTACATTTATTAGTTACATTGTAAGAAGGATGTCAAGCGTGGGTTGGAAGAAATTGATGACTTCTGAAGTCCCTTTCAGCTCTGAAATTCTGTCATTCTGATCTGATAAATTAATCTGTGTTGATGGAGGTTTATTTATATGAGAATAAAACCAGATCAATACATGGAAAAGCCCTTTAAAATGATGAGAGGTATAATCATTTCAGATCCCCAAAACCCTCAGTTTGGCAAATTAGGTATGTCCATAAGAATCTAACTCTTTTAAGGACTACTACTTTCCCACATGTCTTTGCTAGGCCAACTAAGCTATTGAGTAATGGGTAAAAAGGGGGAGGAGACTTAAGTTGAAGAATAAGTAAAGCTATGTGAGCTCAGTCAGCAGAGTTGTAAAATAGTGAAAGCAGAAAGTTGGGTTAAAATGGCAGGACAGAAGCCGCTTTTGGAACTGGAAAACTTTATTGCTGGTAAATTTATTGCCTGTAATTCACACATAGATTCCTATGACCCATCTACAGGAGAGGTGTATTGCAAAGTTCCAGACAGTGGCAAAGAAGAGGTGAGTTGATTTTTCTTAAATGCATTGATAAATTGAGGGTGTCATTTTTCTAAACAAAAAGGGAAGATAGGATGGTGAGTCTGAAGTGGAAGTTGCTAAAACATTAGATGAGTCTTGGGAAGCTGATTCAAAACTTCTGAGTCCATTGTATTATAAATAATAGCAATGTAAGATTCTAACCCATTGTGAGGTGAAAAATGACCCAGAAATCTGGCTAATCTTAACTTTAGCCAATCTGCTTTTTTTTCAACATTGTCTAAGTAGTGTCTAGCCCAATGTGGGTTTGTTTTTTTTTTTTCCAGTTTTATAGTTCTATTTAGTTATATTGCACTTATTTTCTGTTTCTCTTTCTTTGGGTTGTTTTTAGCTATTACTATTTTCTCTTTGCAGAATTGGAGTGTCTGATTAAAGTTATTGTAGTTTTGAAAGTATTATGTTAGATTCATTAATATGTTAGATCTCCACAGGATATTTCCTAAATTTTCTACCCCTCTGGATTTGGTGTCTAAGAAAATGTTACTGGACTGAAAGAATGAAGTTCTTTAAAATTAGTTCTCTAGGAATTCTCTGAAGAATTCCTGCCCTTTACATTTGCTTCCCATTGTTTGGAAGTGGAACTAAATTGTTTAGTTTCCCAACACACTTTCCCTTTCTTCACAAAGCAAAGATATGATCATGGCATCATAACTTGGAGTTGAAAGGGACCTGGGTTTCTGGTAACTACTTGTGTGATATTCAGCCTGAACCTTTTTTTCACTACTATAAAGCAATTAAATGGAAATTTTATTTTGCCTTTGAGTGAAAATTAGTCTGCTAAGGTATGAGCTGTTAAAACACTAAATACCTAATATTTAACTCCACAAAGCTACTAAGCAGAGGGTTTCCAGAGACCTAGCATCCTTTCCAATTATTGTGTGGAAAAGGATAATAATTCTTCTTATCCTGTGGGCTATGTGTTTAACATTTCATTTGTGGTCAGGAAATAAAATATCAGTTAATTGGTAGCTCAAGCTTTACAGATCAGTTTTTGTTTTTAAGGAAGTCACATCTTTTGTGGTTGAGTGTTGAGTGCAGGAGTTCTTTACAATTCTCAGAGCTAGAAAGGATTATAGAGATTATCTCGCTATTGTACAGGTGAGAAGATGGAGTTTTAGGGAGTACTTGCCCAAGATTAAAAGGCTAATAAATGGCAACTGGGACTTGAATTCCATTTCCTTGGCTCCTAGTAGAGTCCTTGCAGTCATATATCATGGCTGTTTCAGCTCAGAAGTTCTGAAGAACTGTCCTACCAGCTTTATTTTGTTTATTTGTCTTTATTTTAAACCATTGGACTTTTGCATTCCTGTAGGTAAATATTAGCAATAAGATAATGGTTAGGTGGTTAAACTGTAACTAAGACTTTGATTCTGACTTGAGCTACAGAGGTGTCATCTTAGCACTGGGACATCCACAACATTCTCCTTTTATCAAGGTATTTTTAATGGCAAAGAATTATGTGTCTGCTATAAGTCTTTAGGAATCTTTTCTACCCCTAAAGCATAACTAAAATTCAGGGGTTAAGAGGTTAACAGATTTGGATTTGGAGCTAGAAGAGACTAAAGATCATTCAATTCAACATCCTCATTTTACAGAGAAGATTGAGAAAGGTTAGACTGTCCATGGTCACACAGCCAGTAACAGAACCAAGGTTTTGAACTCTGCCCTGACTTAAAATCCAGTCCTCTTTCCACTGCACTATAGCTGCTTCCTAGTACACACACTGTATATACTTATTTTCCCAGTCACCCACAAGAAACATTCCTGTCACAGTCAGATGAACCAGTGAGCACAGTCTTGGACTTGCCCTTTCCTATGTTGCTTTAGGTCAGTGTTGACCTGATTTATGTTCCACAGAACTTGAGAATCTTCTGAAAAAGTTTAAAAGGACCTCCGAACTCATTTGTATTGTATTTGAGCTAGGATCCCTTTTATACATCACTTCCCAGTAGCTGATTATGCAGCTCGTGCATGAGGACCTCCAGTAATGAAAAAAAGCACTCCAGAGGCAATACAACACCTCGAACAGTTACAAAACTTTCCCTGATAAGAAACTGAAATTCTTCTCTGTAAATTCTACTCATTGTTCCTAGTTATGTCTTCTGGGACCAAGTTGGTTAGCTTCTTTAAGAGCTAAAGAAGAGGCAGCATGGAGTAGTGGATAGAGAGCTGCTTAGTTTAAGTCAAGAAGACCTGCCTCTGAGACTTGCTGACTATTTGACCCTGGACAAGTCACTTAACTACTCAGTGCCCACCCCTCCCCCAGGCATTTCCCTAAAATTGGTCAATTCTAAGAAAAGTGTTAATCTACAGGAATATTGGCAGTTCCTCATTAGGAGGGCCCTAAACTAATGACATTCCAGGTATACTCCAAAAAAAAAGTATGCTACCTGCAAACATACATGTACATTCCTCTCCTCTTCATTTCCTCTTCCTCTCTCTCAATCCCTCTTCAATGAGCTACAAGGCAGAAAAAAAAGGCAGGAAAAAAAAAACTTTATAAATACTGCTTGTTGCCCAGAAGGCATGCAGTTGTATGGGCAACCAATTGAGTTAGTCCATTGATACATTTGTATTGAACCAAGCACTGAAGATAGATAATTATTAGGACTAGGATGGAATAGGAAGAAATTGTGGGCTGGATTTGAAGAATTGTGTCCCATTCAGTTATGCCAAGCTATTCATCGGCACAGAAGCCATCCTTTTATATCATCAGTACTATCCCAGTCATGCTATTTGATTAAGGATTTGTGAAACACTGAGATCCTTAAAGGATCAAGATTTCAGGTGATCCCAAAGAGTAAGGAAAAGATGCATGGTTGGGTGAACATAGTTCTGATGTATATATAGAAAAACTAGCCAAGCCTGCATAGGGTGGGGCCTTAGGCTATTGCTCCCACAAGGAAGAAGTTGTTCAATCTCAATTTCCTCATCTCATAAAATAATAGTAGTAACAGTAGCAGCAACAACAGCTAGTCTTTATATAGTATCTGTTATGTGTCAAGCAATGTGCTCAGTGCTTTACAAATATTATCACATTTGAGCCTCACAACAATCGTCAGAAGTAGGTACTATTATTTTCTTCATTTTACATTTGAGGAAACTGAGGCAAAGATTAAGTGCCTTGCCCAGGGTCCTACAGCTAATAAATATCTGAAGCTGGATTTGGATTCAGATCTTCCTGACTCTTGGCCTAGCACTCTATCCACTGCACCTGTATTACCTACTTGTCAGGGATGTTTTGTAAAAATTACCTTAGAAGCCTCAAAACACTATCTAAATGTGAATTAGAGTCTCTTCTGTCTTAGCCCTTACTAGTTATATGCTTCACTCCAGTTTGTATTCCATTTCTTGATACTGTATTTTAAGATAGAGGTTCCTAATCTTATTTGGCCTGCTGCCCTCTTTAAAAAAATACTCAGCACTCCCCCCAAAAATCTACTTTATTTAACCCTTTGACAGTTTTTTGAGATTTGCATCATTTCAAAAAATATAAAATGTGTTTTTAAAATTGACACACCTTAAATTAAATAACTTACTATAAATTTGTGGGTTTTTTCCTGCATTGAAATTTTGATGACACAATATTACATCATAAACTACATGGTATCATATTGTAAACAAGTCATTATACACACAGATTCCTGCCGATGCATGCTGGACTTCCTGACAACGTGGGACATGCTTGCCTGCCAACTCTTGCTTGTTAAGACCTGTTGGCAGACTTGACCACTGATTGGTTATAACTTGCATTTTGTGTGTTTATTTGGAAAATGTAATCACTACAATTTTAACTCTGTTATACAACAGATGAAAAATGTACGAATGGTTTTTCAAAATTTTCTTCTCTTCTTTGCTTGTGCTTCCATTGCTGCTTTATTTTTATTCAATGCCCCCCAATTGCACCCAAGGCTACTACCGACCCCCCTGGATCATTCCAGCATCCCGTATGGGGTAGTATCACCTATTTTGGGAACCTGTGTTTAAGACTTTCAACCATAGGATTTAGGCCAAGTGGTTTTTAATTTATCTATCTGTATTTTGCTTAAAGCACGCTGAATCAGAGACTCACAGATTTTGAGGGTTGGATATATCTTTAGTAACCCTCTAGTCACACAACAAAAAACCTTCCCATTGTAATATATCAGACAAGGTTATCCAGCCTCATCTTGAAGATCTGACTTGGGGGTGGGGGTTAGTAAGTAAGTCACAATGAAGAGCCTCCAGTTCCATTTCTGAAGCCTTAGGATTCCCCTCCCCAACTCCTTATCCTCTTCTTACTTTACTTTCCCACTCATAACAGACGGAAGTGTGTTTTGTTTTGTTTTACACCTCCAAGTGACCTTGAAAAGGGCAGGCAGCAGGCTACAGCTGAGGATGGGGTTTGGAGCATGTGGAAGTCTTGGGATATGTACAGAAGGAATGAGGAGAGATAATACTTACAATGCACACCTAATAAGTTTTAAGACACACCCATTGAGAACCACTGTCACAGGTGAGGGAAAATGGGGGTAAAGAAAGAAATCTGCCATTGAGCTCCATCATTGCCTCCTAGTAATACTGAAAGTCACTGCTTTTCAGAAACCTCAAACCCTAAAGTCCTGCTTTCTGCAAATCCAGTCTGGTGTCATGTCAGCATGAGATGATATATGGCCTTTCTAGTGGGCACAATCTGCCTGCCTCCCAACAGTCTGCCACTAACCAGGACCACCAATAGTGCAGATATCTCCCTCCCTAGACAGTGTGATTTGAAGACTCTTTATAAGGTTTCCTCTTCCACCAAATATCTTCCTTGCCAGCCTACCTAAGTCAGACCCATCCCAGAACACCCTTTAACAAGAAAATAAAGAAAAAGAAGGGGAGAAAATACTGGCCTAAAGAAACCAAGTAATGCATGAACTGAGACTCATAGAAGATAGAATTGGAAGAGATCATGTCCGACCTTGTTTTACAGATGAAGAAATTGCACTCCGGGGATATGTGGTGACCTGTCAACTATCACACAGCTAACTAATGGCCAAATCAAAACCCAGTCCTCAGGACTGACTCTCTCTAATGTACTTTCCACTCTACCGTCTTTGAATATAGAAAACAAAAATCAGTGCTTCTTATTTCTTTGCCTATCTATCCAACTACAAGTATCCACCAGTTTTGCTTTACTCAAAGAGGTTTTCTGGGTAATATCACCTACTAAGGGGGACTTCCAGGAGAACTACTTATGGATGCTACCACAACATATCAGTTCTCAATAAGTCTACAGCAACTTGCTGACTCTTCCATTTGTTTTTCAAAGATAGAAGCAGCAGTCACGGCTGCCAGAGGGGCCTTTCCCCATTGGTCATCCACAAGCCCTCAGGACCGCTCTCAGATCATGAATAAGTTGGCAGATCTGCTGGAACAATCCCTGGAGGACTTTGCACAAGCTGAATCAAAAGACCAAGGTAAACCAAGCTCTTCTTCAAATGTTCCACTGCTGGGGAAATCTGGTTTCTATTCATAGAATGAAAGGATTTAAATTTGGAAGGGACTCGATCTATCTAGCTTAAATCTTTCTTTTTATAGCTGTAGCACACCCCTTCCCCCCAGAGCTACACACCATCTTCTATTCATAAGTTGGATCCTCTAGAGGAAAATTATCCCATGTTTAAGGTATCCTGTGACATCCTTTATGATCAGGTAACTCAAATTGGCAGCTTGTAAATGGCTTGAATTCCTTAGGTCACTTCTCTCCTGGCAGACCTTTCCATAATGAGTTCACAATTGAAAAATCTGCACCCCTTGCACTCCCAACCTAGGTTATTAATACTACAATTCTATCATTGATCAGAGAAGGCTTGGAACAAACTTCTAATGGAGGTGACACATCATAATCTGGAATCCATTGTGTCACCAGGCTCAGTGCATCAACTTTCAGATTTGTTCTTAAACACATAGAGAGAAGCATGTAGGTCTGAGCATTGAGCAGGGGAATCCAGAGCTAGATACATAGTAACTTAGAGTGTACTTTTTTTTAAATTACATATCCCTCTTGTTTTTACATAACACTAATTTCTTATCCATGCTCCATAACTCAGTCAACCTTCCCTTATAACAAAGATTTCTTTAAAAAGAAAAATGTATAGTTCAGCAGAACTAACCAACCATCCAGCCTGCATCTGACAGTGTATGCAATATTCCACTTCCATAGTCCCCTACCTCTGTAATGAGTGGAAGGTAGTAGATCTTATAAACTCTTCTGTTGTGCCAAACTTATTGCTTGGCTTATACTTATACAATGTTCAGGTTGGAGTTTCTTTCCATTTACATGGCTGTAATTGTAACAGAGGCAATAGAGTGCTATATCCCAATGCCCCCACAGTTTACCACCAGAAAACATACGGTAGAGCCCTATCCAGTGGAGTTTTAATGTGTACACCAGCAGTGACTTAGTCTCACTTCTTTCTGGGTCTGGTCTGCTTCCCCATCCTGCTCTTAAACTAGCAGGTCTAAGTTCCCAGAGATCAGTACCACTTGGTTACATTCCAACCCCCTCAAAATCCCAGAGATAACCCATTTGAGGGGAAATATATTTCCCTTACTCACCACTTTCTAGCTCTTGAGTTCCAGTGCATTGTGTTTTCTGTCTATACAACCAGCCACTCTCAATAATGACACTTTTAGTTCTTAAACATAACCATTCACTTAATAATAAGGCAAATCAAATATTATAGATCCTAATATATTAAAAACATTTTGTGGTTGTTCAGTCGTTTCATTCATGTCCAATTCTTCATGACCCCATTTTTTTTTTTAAGCAAGGATATTGGAATGGTTTACTATTTCCTTCTCTAGTTCATTTACAGATGAGGAAACTGGGGCAAAGTTAAATGACTTGCTCAGAGTAAATACGTAAATCATCAAATACATCACAAAATACAAACAAAAACCCACTCTTCTATCAATGTGCTATTCAATTGTTATGATGAAGAGTGGACATACATTTATAGGAGCCTGGTATGGAAACACATGAGGTAGGAAAACTCAAGTGCTTATGGAAAACTGACAACTTTGGACTGCAGTTTTTAATGTTATTGGCCCATTCGGGAACATTTATATCACATGAAACTGGTTCTCTGCTCACTGCTTCAGTGTTGATTCTTGCCTATTCTTTAACTGGAGAAATACTCTTCTCTTCTTGAATATAAGCTTTATAAACTCTTTAAATTAACCCCCACTCTTAAAAGGTCTAGCTATTAATGTGAACAACAGTTCTCTTTCAGTCAGAAAACTACAGAGTTCATTGAGCTGGGCTATACAGACCAATCCATCCAATTATTCACACACCCAGATGTTATGTTGTCCAATCAGAATGGGACTCTTTTTAAAGCAACACAACCCTACCCCAATCAGACAGCAAAGCCTAGGCAAAGCCTTCTCTGCTTTTCCTCCTCAAGCCAGAGGTGGGAGAGTAACAAAGCTCTTTTAAAAAGCATCACCTTTCTCCAATACTAGGTGATCTGTGGGGTAGATTTAAATGACAGCCTTCTGAGACTCTGAGACTGACCTTTTTTTTTTTTTTTAACCATACATCCGTCTCCAAATGTTTAAATGATTTCTAACTTTTTAAAGTTGTACTGTCTTTGGTCATAATATGTGGGGAGGTACTTGGCTCTGAAGTCTCCAAGGATTTCCAACTTTTTGGTGACTGTGAAACTATTTCTTTATATTCACATTTCTTCAAATGAATGAATGATTTAACAAAAGAACAAAGGAATGAATGAATAAATAAGAAAATAAGTAAATGAATAGATAAATAAATTATTTTCCCCTGCCTGTTTATAACATTAAATTATTCCCATAGAAGGGAGACATCACTCTGCCTTGCTGACAAAGAGATCCAAATCCTCAGATCAACCCCACAGATCATTTTCTCTCCCAAACTGTTCAAATCCTGTTGGAAAGCTGTTTCTTCATACTCATATTTTAGCATTGTGTATTAAAACAAAGTTATTTTTCTACTCATAGTAGTAGTAATGTTTATCCATAACAGGGGAAATATCCTACTGACATCATGTCATTTGACAATCAATATAAATCTCTTCCTTTACACAAAAGCCATTTCTCCCCCTTTTATCACTAACTACTTCTTATGAAAGGGCTTTAAAAAGGCAAAGTGCCTCACATGAGTCATTGTATGTATTGTTTCCCCAGTTCTGATGACTCCATTCTACATCTGTTCATATAAGTCTTTCCATGTTTCTCTAAATTCTTCATTTTTGTTTCTTATGGAGCAATAATATTCCATTACATTCATATACTACAATTTGGTTAGACCTTCCACAGCTGATGGGCACCTACTTTGTTTCTAGTTCTTTGCTACCTCAAAAATTGCTGTAATGAGTATTTTAGTGTTTATCAGACCTCTTTTGTGTGTGTGTGTTTGATTTACTTCAGGCATCTGCTTTGCTATGAATTTGAATGGCATGAACACATTAGTCATTTTCTTAGCATAATTCCAAATCACTTTCAAGACCAATTTATAGTTCCACCAAGAGTGCCTTAGTGTGGTAGACTTATTTTTAAGAGATAGCCACAGAAGTGGCTACATTGTCAAAGTATTGCCTTAGAGATTGCTTTGAAATTACTTGATTCCCCCAAGGGTATGTGCTTACTTCTTTATATTTGTGTAGTCTGTAGATGACACTGTTCTTGGGTGGCAAAAAAGTGGTCCTTCTGTGTCATCTGGCATATTGTGGCTAAGCATAACCTCAATACAGTAAGGGAGCTACTATTGGACAAATTAAAGCAACAGCAAAGGCCCAGTTGAGGTTGGATGACATGAATTTACACAGAAGCCAAAAAATGTGATTTTTTTATAGCAGTGCCTAGCACCATAACTTTTACCTAGGCCAGAACAGCAGAATGGGAAATGGTGAAGGATGAACTTCAGTCTGGGTATAATGGCAGGTAAAAACAAAATAAGGCTATTGGTCTGGGGGAAATGGAGGATTAAGGGACTGGTGGTTACAGTGGGGAAAGAGGAGCAGGATTAAAGAAAAGAAGAGAGCAGAGAGGAGAATATGAGTCAAGATGTAGGAAGTGAAGTATATCCATAGTGAGAGTGTTAGAATTGAAGGAAAAATGGAATGCTTAGAGAATTGAGGAACTGAGAGATTTGAGGAACTTTGAGGACAGGGTATTAGGAGAATCATTGAACTTGCATATTGAATTCATTGAGGATAACAGCAGAACACAGGTGGAGAGGAGGAACTGTGAACCAGCTACTGAATGCACTGAGAAAGTTGGAAGAGTGCCCTGAAGATAACCCATAAGGCTAGGGAGAGGATGCCTTAATCAGACAGTGTGAACTGCAGTGACTGAGAGGTAGTTGAGTGGCCAAATAGTATTTGTTTTGCAAGTGGCAGGAGTGAAGAGAATACCATTCCTTCCTCATAGCTTTGTAAACTGGAGGAAGTAGGACAAAACTGAATCCATTGGAAAAGGTTGCCATGCATATGGTATCCTCAGTGGAAAACCAGGTTTTAACTGATCTAAATGGTTGCAGGAATACTTAAGGAAAAAGTCAAGAGAGACAGACAGTTGGACAGAGACAAAGGTAGTGGGTGTGTTTGTGGAGAGGATGTTTACAATAGCTTGAGATTTCCCAGGAGCAAAACAAGAGGGGCTTATGGATGAGTGAGCAAGGGTAGTCCTGAGAAGGCTAAGAATGAAAGTGCCCAAGGAAGGAAAACAGAGAGGGTTTTCACTTATGATTTCAAAGGACCTGAAGGCCCACTAATGGCAAAGAATATGTTTATAGTAATCTAAATGGTACGTGGAATGGTGGAAGATTATGGTTGGAAGGTAGAATTTGAAAATTCAAGAAGTTGGAGGTAGTACAATTCATAGAGATTCTGAGGTTTTGGTGTGACCATGACATGATAGTGATTGAAACTGGGTGGGAAAAGAGTTTACTGGAGTATAGAAGTTTAAGGAATGTTGTGTTGGGTAATGTGGCATGAATAAAAGCTTTAAGATATGCTTTGGACACAAACAAACTATTTGACTATGGATGCTTAACTTCTCAGTGCCCCAGGCAATGATCCAAGATTATATTACAGACAAGTTGCTAGTCTGCCTTGGTGAAGGGAATTTTCAGTTAGGGAGTTCCTCACACTAAAAAATGGTTCCCTTCCCCACTCCCACAAAAATAGGATCTAATTCACAGGCTTGTTTTGAGGGTCTAATGAAATAATGTATGTGAAGTGCTCTGAAAACTAAGAGGTGGTGTGGTTCAGTGAATAGGGAGCTAGACTTGGATCCAGAAATACCTGGGTTCAAATCCTGCCTCACATTGCCAATGGTTATGTGACTCTGGGCAAGTCACTTTACTTTTCTAGGCCTCAATTTTTTTATCTTTAAAATGAAGGGGTTGGACTCAGTGACCTCTAAAGGTCCCTTGTATCTCTACATCTGTTAGCATTGTTGTCATTGGGTTATTTCAGAAATGTCCGCCTCTTCATGACCCCATTTGGAGTTTTGACAAAGATCCTGAAATGGTTTGCTATTTCCTTCTTTAGCTCATTTTACAGATGAGGCAACTGAGGTAAACAGGGTTAAGTAACTTGCTTAGGGTCATATAGCTGGTAAGTATCTGAGGCTGGATTTGAACTTATGAGGATAACTGCACCACCTAGCTGCCCCTATCTATGAGCATATGTATCTTTGAAATACTATGATACATTTTGTTATTATTTCACCCTTATTATTATTATTATTATTATCACCATGAATGTTGAAGTCCCAAAGAATGATGCCAGGATGTGTTGCTTGTCCTTTGTTCTTGAAGAGAAGACCATAAACCAGGCCCTAATGTCACTGAGATGTTGGGGAAGTGATGTAGAGGTCAGAAGTAGTAGAAAGAAAATGAAAGGAGGACAATTTTCTTTCAAGGGAGGAAAGGCTTTCTAGGATTGGGACAGAAGAAAGGTCTTGAAGCAATAGTGGAGGGCAAAGAGTAGGCCAGTAAGGCACCCTTTCCTGTGAATTAATAATTGTTCAGAGTAGAGGACTGCAGTGAATGTAGCATGCTAAAGGGAGAGCCAGGTTTCTGATCAGTCAAATTGGTCATTTTATTAAGCTTCTATTATGTGTCAGGCACTGTGCTAAGTTCTGGAGATAAAAGTATGAAAAATATAGTCCCTACCCTCAAGGAACTTACAATCTAATGAGGGAAAATAGTACACAAAAGGAAGCTGAAAAGGGATGGGAGGAAGGAGAAGGAGAAGTGGAAAATGAAGAGATAGTTGGCCTGGGCCCCCTCCTTAAATGGAGGTTTTGAAGTTCGTGGCTCTGCCCTCCAATCAGAGGGGCAGAGGCAACTGGTGAGTTGTGAGTGCCAAGGTTGATTGGATCTTGTAGAATGATGATACTTCCCAATGAAGAGATTCCTAGGGTCATGATGGAAAAATCCAAAGAACACTAAAACAATGCCGAGCTGGGTAGGAAATGAAAATGTAACCTTTTAAGGTTGCTTTCCATCTGTCCTTTATTTATCTATTTATTTACATGTTGTCTACTCCATTAGATTGTGAGTTCCTTGAAGGGTATGTGCTATTTTTACCTTTCTTTGTGTCCCCAGCATTTTGCACAGAACCTGGCATATGATGGGAACTAACTAAATACTTGTTGACTTGACTTGATTGATTGAATGGAATATTAGTTGGATATAAACTCTTTGAGAGCTAGCACTATTATCATTTTGTCTTTATATCTCTAGCACCTAGCCTAATGCTGGACATGTAGTCAACTGAGTGGAATTGAAATGTTTGTGGATATAGGGGAATGTATTGAGAATATAGAAGGGCTCCAAAGGACATAGTAGAATGGTTTAGGGGATAGGCCACTCAGATTGGAATGAGCTGAAAGATGAATAGAAATGAGTAAAATAGCGATAAGGTTTTAGAGAGGATATAGTGTGTGTGTATGTGTGTATATATATATATATACACTTTGCATCTTATGCATTACGACTGGATGACTAGGATTCAGAAACCAATATGGTGGGAGGCAGATTAGAGTAGCATGCTCCATTAATAGAACTTAAATCAGAGTGCTGGATTTGGTGTCATTCATTCATTCGGCAAACATTTATTGAGCATCTGCTGTGTGCCAGGCAGTAGACACACACTGCTTTCAAGGAGTCTGCATTTCATCATAGGGAAACAATATGTATATAAGTAAGTTAATATTAAATATTCATTTAAAAATTTATTTAACATTTATTTACATTATTTGTTTAAATATATTCATAAATATATAAATATTCATTTATACTTAAATATAAAGTAATTGGGGGAATAGTTTAGGCCTTGTTTAGGAGGTAGCACTTGAGCTTGAAGGAAGCTAGAAATTCTAAGAGGCAGGGGGAGTGAGGAGGGAGCACATTTCGGGCATAGAATAATTAGACTGTGTGAAGGCAGAAGACCTGGGTCCAAATTCCAGTTCTGCTACAAATAATGAATCCCCTTAAGTGGTTGGATGTATTTGAATTTGTAGTATTTGAAGTTATGGTCATTGGTTCTAACCCAATGGAATCATATAGTACAAATCAAATAGCTCAGCCACTTCAGGAGATTCTTTATTGGCACTAATTGGACTAATTGGGCCATGCCTCCCTTTTTCTTTCATTTTCTTTATCTATAAAATGAGGAAATTGGCATGGAGGCTCTTGAAGGCTTCTTCTGCCTCTAAATCATCTGACAGCTTGTGTGTACTCCATCTATGTTCCATTTGTTAAGATGGAGGTCAAATGTATCCCTGACCAAAAATTGTTGCCACTTCTGTTGATGGGCTTTGTTCAATCAAGAGCTTGCACGAGGTGTGCCACAGCTGACCCAGTAACAGCACGCGTGTGTGCACCTGAGACCATCCTAGTGGTCTCCTGTGACAGTCTGGATTTGATCATTTTTTCCACGTGTTGGGATAGAAATTTAATAAACAATCATTTGCTCTCAAAGGGTTCTTTTGTGAAGTGCTGGTTCAACTACTGATATTTGTTGTCTCCCTCTCTTTGTAGCATGTGCAGACAAGGGTGATTCTGAATTGAATGAAAGTGTGTGGGTGGAGGAGTGTTTGGGCTCAGCCTGGCTAGAAACACTGGATTCTAAGTATTTATGACTCGTGTTCAGTTCACAATCATAAAGCAAACAGTAAGTGACCCACTTTAATCCCATGTGTCTTCCTATGGCCTATTCAAGTTTTCAAGTTCTTGAACCTGGTAGATTTTCATGTTTTATCCATGGGCCCATTTTGGAATTTAAATGCTTATATTTTCTTCTCCACAGGGATTATGTTCAGCAAACAATAAAGAAACCAGGATATCTCAATAGATGCTGGGAATACATAACTAGTAAGGGGATGTTGAGAGGTGGTATGAGATGAAGAATAGTGGATCAATCTTGGAGTCAGAAAGAACTGGGCTCAAGTTCTGCTTCTGACATATATTGAGGAAAAGAATAAGCATTTATACTGTGCCTACTATGTGTTAGAAGTATGTAGGTTCAAATCCTGCCTTTGACACATTTTGGCCGCATGACATTGGGCAAGTCATTTAATGCCTCAGGCAACTTAAGATTATAAAAGTTACAGAGGGATTGCCGATTTGCATTAATAAGAGTAGCTGGCATTTACATAGCACCTACTATGTGCGGGGCAACTGCTTTGCAAATATCTCATTTGATGTTCACAACAACCCTAGGAGATATGTGTTATTTTTATCCCCATTTCATAGATGAGGAAACTGAGGCAAACAGAGGTTAAGTGACTTGTACAATGTCACACAGATAGTAAATGAGACTGGATTTGAACTCAGGTTTTCCTAACCCCAGGCCCAGTACTCTATCCACTATGCCACTTGGCTACATTAGTGAAAGGAATTTCTACCTTGGGAGTTCCCTACACAATGAATTCACAGGTCAAGAGTCTACCCCACCCCCAGAGAGTGGTAGCTTGGTTCTTAATATTGTGTCCCCATTTACTTTTTTCAAATCCTTCAACTGTTACTTACTAATCTTTGAATGAAGTCATTTAACTTTCTGGGCCTTTGTTTTTTCATCTCCAAAATGAAAGGGTTGGAATAGATGTCCTCTGAGATTCTTTCCAACTCTAAATCTATGGTCTTGTGTTATATGGACCAGAATCCTAGTGAACCTTTCTTTAATTCACTGCAAATAACTACCATATGCCTTATACTGCTTCCCTCTGACAGGGAAAACAATCACATTTGCCAGAACTGTGGACATCCCACGGGCTGTGTACAACTTTCGATTTTTTGCCTCCTCAATCCTTCACCACACCACGGATGCTACTCAGATGGATTCCATGGGCTGCTTGCACTATACTGTGAGAAGTCCTGTTGGAATTGGTAGGTATTTGTGAAGTGGTGGGAGGGGACAGTCACTGAAATCAAACCTCAGAAAGAATACTCTAACTCGTTTTTTCTCTTTTACAACCTCAGTGGCACTAACTGATTTCTTGAAAACCCAGAGTTCCTGAATGATCTCAGCAGTCCCTCCAAATCTTAGGCTTTCCCTCTGATTTAACTGTACTCCTTAATTCTCGTAAGCTTTCTCAGTTTCCCTCACCCTAAAGTTTGCCCTCTTCTGGCCACATAAATATTTGTAATACTCTAAAACAGCCACCAGATATCACTATTTCCTCAGGGAAAAAAAGTAGCCTTGGCCCACTGTAAACCCTAGCTGCTATAGTAGATGGAATTTTGGTCATGGTAATAAAAGAGAATAGGAGACACAGAAGAAAATGGGACATTGCATCTCTTTGTATCATAAGCCAAAGCTACAAAGTATTACAATACGGATACTGCAAACTTCCTGCGGAGGAAGGAGCTGAAATATCATATTTCATTAATATCCTGTGATCTCCTGAGGAACAGATTTCCAATACCCATTCTAATAGTGTGAAATGTATGTTGATCCTGTGATAGGTGCTACAGGGCAGGAAATAAAATACGGTCTTTCTGTTTTTCATAAAACAATTTTTGCTGTTGTTGTTATGTTTCATGAATGCAATGCCAGCAAGATTTCAGAGTCTTGAATGGCTACAGAAAGCTTAATGGGGTGAGCATGGCAAAGACTTCACCAAACATCACATTCATAGGCAGTGACCCCTTCCTTACCTACAGCTTACTTATCTAGCAGCTCCAATGATCTGGAACACAGCTGGGTACTAGTAAAGAAGAGGGAGAAAGGCCTCTGAACTACTAAAGTAGATTATTGCCATACCTATGCACATTAAAGTCTATGCACTTTTCTTGTAAGAAAGCCCACAAGACCCTCCTTGGTACCTATTATTTTTATTATAGACATAATCTTAAAAAGCTTTGTTTTGTAGTTTCTTAGCCCATACCTCATTAGAAGAAAGGAAAAGGGGATATGAATGGCAGGCACAATGAAAGCTGTAAAAGATGATGGCCTTGTTGAAGAAGGAGAAAGGATAAACAATCCAAAAATAGGAACAAAAGTTCACAAACAATGGTGGTCTGGTACCATTTGTTGTTGGTCTGACAATCTCAACAGTCCCAAGTGGACCTACTATTATTGAATATTACAAAGATCAATCAACAAACAGTTATACTATGCCAGGCATTGTGCTAAGCGCTAGAGATATAAAGAAGAAGCCAAAAAACAGTACCTGACCTAAAGGATCCTAATTCTAAGAGAATTAGGAAGATTTTCAGAATGAAGACCCCAAAATAATTTTAAAAAATATTTATTCTATTGTTTTACATAATTGCACATGTATAATCTATATCAGATTGCTTACTGTCTCAGGGAGGGGGGAAATGAAGGAAGGAGGTATAAACTTAGAACTCAAAAGTTAAAAAAAGTGAATGTCAAAAATTGTTTTTACATGTAATTGGAGGAAAATAAAAATTTTATTTTTTAATTTATATTATTTATTATATTTATTATTTATATATCAATTTATGTATGTACTATATATTTATGTTATTAATTTATTTTTAATTCTTTTTTTAACATTTTCAGTTCCAAATCTCTCTCTGCTTCCTGCCCTTCCCCCACCCACTGAGAAGGCAAGCAACATAATTATCAATTATATATGTGAAATCATACAAAACATATTTCCATGTTAGCCAAATCATACAAAAAAGACCCAAGAAAAATAAAGAAAGTGAGAAAACTATACTTTACTTTACAATCAGAGTTCATCAGTTGCATTTTTCATGAGTTCTTAGGAATTTTCTTAGATCATTGCATTGATCAGAGTAGCTGCGTCTTTCATAGCTGATTATCATTACAACGTTGCTGTTACTATATACAGTGATCTTCTGGTTCTGCTCACTTCACTCTGCATCAGTTTGTATGGGTGTTCCAATGTTTTTCTGAAACCATCCCCCTCATCATTTCTTATAACATAATAGTACTTAATCATAATCATATGCCACAACTTATTCAGCCATTCACCAACTGATGGCATTCCTTCAATTTTTAATTCTTTGACACCACAAAAAGAGTCATTATAAATATTTTTGTACATATAGGTCCTTTTCCTATTCCCTTGGTCTCTTTTGGGTACAGATCTAGTAGTGGTATTGTTGGATCAAAAGGTATGTATAGTTTTATAGTTCTTTTGGCATTATTCCAAATTGTTATCCACAATGATTGGACCAGTTCACAACTTGACCAACAATGCATTAATGTACCTATTTTTCCTCATCCCTTCCAGCATTTGTCATTTACATTTTACTTCAAAGTTGTTTTAATTTGCATTTCTCCAATCAAGAGTCATTTAGAGCATTTTTTTCATATGACTATATAAAGCTTTGATGTCTTCTTCTGAAAATTACCCGTTTATATCCTTTGACAATTTATCAATTGGGGAATGACTCTTATTTTTCTAAATTTTACTCAGTTCCCTATATATTTGAAGAAAAGAAACTTTAATCAGAGAAACTTGCTATAAAATTTTTGATATTACTTCATTGCCTATGATACTTTTTTTTTAAATCAAAATGTAGTTTCCCTGATTATCTCTTTTAATTAAGCCCATTTTTTTCTTTTGCTTTGTCTGAGGTCTTTATTGCAACACTTTTCAACTTCCTATCTTATCTTAGACTAGAAAAACATCTCCTTCTGACCTTTTGTTTTTTCTGCTGCTCCAAAATTTGATTTGAGACATTATTTTAAAGTTGTTTGTCGGGGAAATTTGAGAGAGTTCAGCTAGGTGGCTGCCTCTGCCGTCTTGGCTCCACCCCCTTCTTAAAATAATTTTCAAAAGACTAATGTTAAGTTCAATATATTCTGTTTAAGGAGGCAGCTAGGTAGCACAGTAGTTAGAGTTTTGGGCCTAGAGTCAGAAAGATCTACATTCAAATACAGCTTCAGGCACTAACTTTGTGATCCTAAGAAAGTTATTTAACCTCTGTCTGTATAATTTTCTTCAATTGTAAAATGGGAATAATGATAGCACTACCTCCCAGATTGGTGGTAAGGATCAAATGAAGTGTCTGTAAAGCACATAACACTGTTTCTGGCACTTAGTAAGCACTTAATAGATGCTTACTCCCTACTCCTCCCCTAAGAAGGTTCTCAGTTACTCAATTATGTATGTAATACATTCTAGAGAGTTTTCCATCAAATTGATACATAAATATGGGAAGGATTTGCTCCCTTCAGCAAAGTATGGCCACATAGGTAAATTCTATGGAGTTGCTTAAGACACAGTAAAGTGAAGTGATTTATTTACCTAGAGACAGGCCCACAGCTAATGTAGGAGATGAGATCTGAACCCAGGGAAATCTATTTGTCTCCAAACACAGCACTCAATATACTATATCATATTGCTCTACAACAAAGTATATGTTTCTTTTTTAAGTGTCACTTAAAGGAACATTTTAGTTCTCTAGAAAATTCACTTGCATTAGACCCCATTATGACTTTGGGACATATCATCCCTGTGTTTCCTTTTTTTTTCCTCTCTTAGCTGGCTTGATTAGCCCTTGGAATTTGCCACTTTATTTGCTAACCTGGAAGATTGCTCCAGCTATTGCTGCTGGAAACACAGTGATTGCTAAGCCCAGTGAGATGACATCAGTGACTGCATGGATGCTGTGCAAACTCTTAGATAAAGCAGGTAATTGGGATGCCAAACAAGGGCTGATTCCCCAAGGTACACATTTTGCAGGTCTTGAGACTACTGGCGGTGTGAAAGTAGGATCCAAAGGTATTGGAAAGAAATCAGATAGACTCATCAGACAGCTAAGTGCTGCAGTGTATAATGGTGCTGAACTTGGAATCAGGAAGACAGTTCAAATCATACCTCAGATATTTACAACTTGTTGTGACACTAGGCAAGGCACTTTACATCTCTTAGGCTCAGTTTCTTCATCTATAAAATGGAGATAATAATAACTATCAAACAGAGTTGTTGTGAGGATCAAATTATGCAAATTATGTATGTAAATAAATAATATAATAAATATGCAAATTGCTATACAAACCTTAACAGCATTATATAAATGCTAGCCATTAGTATTATTATTGCCGTTATTCCTATCTTTTGTCTAATATAAGAACCAGTTCTATTAGAGACTTTTCAGTAGTGGTGGTGGTGTTTTGTGTGTGTGTGTGTATGTGTGTGTGTGTATGTGTATGAGTATGTGTGTCTTAATAGTACACTGACAGAAATCTTAATTTACAGGGCTCCCTAATAATTTATTGGTTCCCCTATCCTATTGCTCTTACACCCAACACAAATGCCAGAGCAGTCACAGTACTTCCATATTGAAAAAAGTCTACTGAAATGCCACATCAGTACCTTGGATAGGGAACAGAGCACAATATGAGATCAGATGGTTCCTGAAATATTCAGTCTAAATCTATTTTAGCTTAACTCTAGTTCACAAATTACTCCTACTTGGTGAAAACAAAAATAATACCACATACTCATGTGGATAGATATAAAAGCACTTATTAATTACTTAGAATATTCCACTCACTCTTTTAAGCATTGAAGATATAAATATAACCAAGCAAGACAATTTTCGCCTTCAAGGAGATTACATTCTAATAGGGAAAGACAGCACATAAAGGGGAGTGGTAGCCAGGGAGGAGTGTCAACATAGTAGTGTTGATTTGATTACTGTTTTGAGAGGTGAAGTTGGAAATTCCATGGATGTGGAGGTGGGAAAGGAGCAATGTGAGAATCAGGATGGCATCACCATGCCTGAAAAGTTATTTGGCTAGGCCTGTCAGGCTGGATAAGGTGAAAGCTTACTAATTAGAGGCTTGGTCCCGTGGTATGGGTCTACTTTTTGGAAAGAAGAGAAAAAAAGAAGAGGAAGAAGAAAAAACTAGAATATAGGTTGCATGGTGTGGAAATGATTGAGAAGTGGCATAGTGAGCTTAGGTATGGACTAGATAAAGTGAAAGCTTACCAGTCAGAGCTGAAAGTCTCAGGAATTGGAGCTCAGTTTCTGGGCAGAGGAGAAGGAGAAGGAGGAGGAAGAGGAAGCGGAGGAGGAGAAGACTGGAGTATAGGAAGCATACCATGAAGATGGTAATATCTTGTTTGTGATGTATACTCCATCATTAGATGGGTTGGGCTCCTTGACTCACTACCTATAGAGTGGGTATAGATTCTTTCCATAAACCAGCACCTACTGTATTCTATCTCAAATATAATATAATCATATTAATATAATAGTCATAGTAATAGTTATAATTTTAGAGAGATACCTGAAGTGCAGAGGGGCTCAACGACTTGATATGGTCTATTAGCCAAATAGAGGCTGGATTTTCGCACAAGATGATGTCAAACTATTTTCTCCCTCCTTCCTTACCTTCTTTCTTCTTTAACTTCTCTCCCTTTTCTCTTTCTCTCTCTCCTCTCTTTAATTCCTCCTCTCTTTTATCTCTCTCCCTGTTTTCTCTTTCCTTTTCTTCTCCTCTCTTTCCTTGTCATATGTCCGCATTTGTATATGCATATATGTGTATATGATTTTGTGCACACACAAACACACATATACTCTGTGTATTCAACAAACATACTATCATTTTATAAGTAATAGATGCTTTTACTAAACCCTGGGCCCTTGCTGTGTGGAGTTAATAATCCAAAAGATATCTTGCACACAGAGAAATATAATATTGGAATATGCTGATAAGAAGAGTATGAGTGATGTGTTAGGAGTTCTAGATTGGCTATCACATTTTAGTCTTTTCAGAGACCACACTTAGCTTGGATGAGCGCTTCAGGCTCTTGGTTGTGTATAGTTAACTTAGCCCATGTCCTTGGTGATAAAATCCTAATTCAAAGAAATAAAATCCAACTTAATGTCTAGGTGTCCCAGTCCTTCAATGCATTCCTTGCTGCTAATGCCAAATGTTTTCCTTCTTTCCTGGTGTGTTCACTGATTGCTGCCTTCAGGCCATTTCTTCCATTTATGCTCTGTTCTGTGAAGTTATGTGAAGCATTACAAGGTGAGATTCTTGTAAAGGATCTCATTTATTCTCCACCTACTCCATCTATTTAGAGAAGCCTGGGCTGTCAAGTGACTTGACTTGAAGATTTAAGATTTGCTATATAAAATTTTTTATTTCTTCGATTATGACCTGAATAATTTTCTTCCCAGGGAAAAGGCTGCTCCTTTTCAAAACACAATCAATGTTTGGTCAGAATGGTGAGCAGGAACAGAAAGAATATCCAGAAACATTCAGTTCTTAACAGTATTAACGTCAGCCCACACTGAGACATCATCAAAATGCTAATGCTTTTCTATAAGAAAAAGCAATCACACTGGTGAAAAGGAACTAATTTTTCTCATGTGGAAAACATGCAGCTTAGATGAGATTCCTCTCATCTTTTCTACTTTTAAAAGTTTCTATAAATATTAGAAATCATTCAACCCAATTTTCCCCTTCGGACTCCCTAGGGCCTACCTCCCCACTGCCACCTCAACTCTTCCTGGGCTCCCGTTGAGTGTTCAAATGCAAGACCCACTCTCGGCAAAGTTGTAAAGTGGACGGTTTGTGTTTGGGATGGGATCAGAGGCCTAGAACTAGAAGGAACTTCAGAGGAAATCTAGTCTCACTCCCTTATTTTATAGATGAAGAAACTGAGGTCCAGGGAAGTTAGATGACTTTCCTATGATCACATTAATAAGAGATAGCAGAGCTATGGCTCAAACCCAGGTCCTCAGACTCCGATTCTAGTGCTCTTTCTGCTGTGTTGTGCTGTGCTGCTTGGGCAAGGCACTTACATAGGGAAATATTGTTCCTCATCAGGAAAATGAAGGAGTTTGATTAAATGGCCACTGAGGTCCTTTCAGCTCTAATTCTGTATTCTTATGATTCTCTTATCCTTCCCCTCTCCTTTTTTTTTTTTAATTTATTTTTTTGAGCAAGGCAATTGGAGTTAAGTGACTTGCCCAGAGTCACACAGCTAGTAAGTGTCAAGTGGTCTGAGGCAGGATTTGAACTCAGGTCCTCCTGACTCCAGGGCCAGTGCTCTATCCACTGCACCACCTAGCTGCCCCCCCCTCTCTTTTTTGTGTCCCTATTCCTACTGTTTGAATTCCTTCGGTTCATTCATAAAGTAAATTGAGTCTCTTCCCTCTAAACCCCACTTCCTGATCCCAATATCCAGTGTTCTTATTCTGATTCCCAACTATTCAGGGCCCTCTACTGTCATGGCCTCAAATAGATTTGCCTTCATTTTGATAGAAGCTCATGTTCATAATCCATCCTTTTCTCCAGGTCCAGCCTGGTAAATGAAGTTAGAAAATCAATTTTGGATAGGATTTGAAAGAAACAGGATAGCCCACACCTCCAATGTTTCACCACCTAGTATAATTTCTGAAATTTCAGGGAAAGAGTTTTGTAACTTTTACCCTAGAAAGTTTTAGGGTTTTTCAGAATTCCCTGTTTAAATGTAGTTGCTCCTGGAAGAGGTAACCAGACCCCTAAGCTTTTATCATTGAAAGTTAGAAGAGGCCTTAGAGATTGGTAAGAAAGTAGGAGTATATCAAGACAAACTCCACTAATTTCATCATTTTTCTTCTGGCTTCCTCCTGTTACACATATTCTTTCCTATACCTCATTCATTCCCTGAGGGTCTTGCTAGGTAAATGATTCGATAATCTCTTATCAACCAGTCAGGTAATCCTGTTATCTCCTAGTAAAGGATTGCTGACTAATAAGCATACATTTCTATTTGTAAAAATGAGCTCTTGGAGCACAGTCTTAACCCAAAAGAACATATTTCTGATGCTGGGAATTTCATAAACTGTGACAGGGAAAGAATATTTTGGGGGTACTTTTCAGGGTACACTCTTCAGATTGCTACATGCAGGCTGTAGGCTAGTCAGCCAATGCTTAGTCACCCCTTTGGGAGAAAAATATTCGTCTCTAAGCAAGTATGACAAGTATTTCCATGCCTGCGCCTGTATTAAGTGTATGTTTGTCTGCATGTCCCCAAGGCAGGAAGAGCTATGTCTGATCTTTACAATATACTTCCGTACTCATGGTACCAGAGACAGCATCCTCAGGAATAATCTTGAGATAGTAATTATGGGATTTAGCACTAGAAGGGGCCTTCAAGATCCCCAATTCAATCTCCTCACTTTACACTCTACAGAAAAGAAAACTGAGTCCCAGAGAGGTTAAATCACTTGCCCAACATTACACAGGAAGTAAATAGCAGAACTGAGATTTGAACCCAAGTCTTCTGACTCCAAATACATTATTACTTCCACTGCATCACACTGGTGTTTTTTTTTTGTTTGTTTTTTTTTGGTGAGGCAATTGGGGTTAAGTGACTTGCCCAGAGTCACCAGCTAGTAAGTGTTATGTGTCTGAGGCAGGGTTTGAACTCAGGTCCTCCTGACTCCAGAGTTGGTGCTCTATCCACTGTGTCACCTAGCTGCCTCATTATACTATTGATAATAACTGATGTTCCTATATAGGTTTAAAGTTTTCAGAGAACTTTAAATGCATCACCTATCACAACAACTCTATGTCATACATATAACAGATATTCTACTTGCCACTTTACAAGTGAGGAAACATCTGTAAAGTGGCAATTAGGATATCTGTCGTATGTACCTCATGTTGTAATAGGCCCAGAGATATGTGCTCTATCCAAATCTATGTGCTATATCCATAGCTACCAAGTGTCAATGGCAAGGTTTAAACCCAAGTCTTCCTGACTCCAAATGCAGAACTCTTTGCATTAGACCATATTACTGCTGCTGTTTTAAGTTATGCTACATTCATGGCAGGTGTTTCTGGTTAGACCAAGACACTACACTCTTACTCACTTTTATACCTGTTTACAGAATAAAGTTAGAGTGAAGGAAATGGGTTTGAACAAAAATTTACTTTGTTAATCCAATCTTTCATTCTCCCTAGAAATTAATAGAAAATTTAAAAAAAAACCTCTTTCAAATGGAGAGGTCAGAATGAAGTATCCTGGCTATATTAATGCTTATACTTAGAGATCATTTCTCTTCCTGTTTTTGAGATCTGTCTAGGGGCTGCTGAGAGATATGGACCTTCATGATTGACTAAATTAGGAATGTGATGGACCTTCTTTCCACTTAGCGAACCACTTCAGTACCTGAAGGTGCTGCAGGAATCTCCCAGAGTCCCAGGCATCCTCTATGTTACTGGGGATGGTTAATGGATGAATTTGGGAAGTGTTTAGCTTGGAGACAAGAAGTTATAGGGGGAACATGATAGCTATCTTGAAATATTTTAAGGACTATTTTGTTGGTTAGATGATACCACTTGGGCTAGATGCAAAGAACTAGGAACATTTTGTGGAAGGTGCAGAAAGACAGATTTAGGATCAATGTAAAAAAAAAATCCAACTTCTCAACAATTAGAAGTACCAAAAAGTAGAATGTTGGGGATGGGAGAGAGTTAGCAATGGTAGAAATACACTACCAAAAAAGAATAAAATATATTTTTAAATATGTGGAGGAAAACAAAAAGAAAGTGAAGAAGGGACATAAAATAGTACCATTTTGTTATACCTTGTTCAAAATAATACCTATTTTTAAAAATTACATAATGGAAGTTCAATTTCTTATACAATTATCTTTCTTGTTCTGTTTTTTTAAAAATGTTTTTGTTGATGATTGGTACATTCATAATAAAATTTAAGAAATAAATTATCTCCCTTGCCCCCCTCCAAAAAAAATTGGAATGGGATGTCTGAAAAGGTCATGGGTTCCCGGGTAGAGCAATGACCACTTATCAAAGTTATCTGAGGTAAAGGGCAGACCAAATAACCCCAGAGACTCCTCCCAACTCTAAAATTCTATGATTCTATGAACTTGACTTAAGCCCAGCTAAAGTGAAGAATTGCTTAGCTGAAATAGGCAGCCACAGCCTAAAGGGTAGGAACAAGGGTAGAGAAGAAACTGATATTCTCCTGCTGCATTCTATTCTACTCCTACTTGTGCCCCACCAGGTACCCCTGGAAAGCCAAATGTCCTTTGTACTCAGATGATGGAGAGGGGGTATAATGGTCTTTCTAGGGCTCAAAGAGCTACCTTAAACATTGGGGAGATTTAGGCTCAGTCTATACCAGCAGCAGGGCTCTAGGAATTGCTTCTGTACCATCAACCTGGACATATCACAACTCCTGGCATGATGAAGAATAGGCTGATTATATTAGCATTATGGAATTCCTGGTTTCCTTAATAATAACTCAGATGCTCTTTCTTTGTGAAGCTAATACCCTCCTCCTGAATTACCTTGGATTTATTTTGTATATTATTTACTGTACAGGCACCCCACTTAGGAGCATAGGAAATGTACTGTGATCTGTAATACTCTCTTTCTCATGAACTTATGCAGGCAGGTACTTTGTTTATTCTTAGGGAAGCCTGATCTCTAATTGGAGGAGAGGGCTTAAACTCACTTTCTCACACTCACTGGCTTCATTTCAAATCCCCACCACAGAGATGATGCTATTTGCAGTTTACATTATGACTCATATCTGGTCTCCTCAAAGAGAAGTCAAAAAAGATATGTAGTGGACAATATAATTCAGATATAACACAGGCTGTTTATTCCTATACAGAAAATAATGATAAACCTCAAACACTCACCCTGTACATGGACAGAATGATTTAAACGGATTCACCAACAATTTATAACCGTGGTTACAGTCTACTGGGAGTTTGGTAATTATGCTTCATTAGTACATAAAACAGTTTTTGTAAGGCTTAGCCAGTTTTGCTTTCACCTTTCCCTCGCCTAGGCAGGATTGCCTAGACAAGATGTACTCACAGCCCCTTGTGACTTGATAGGAGACAGGACAGCACCCTTCCCACACTGGATACAGCTCAGAATAGTCTTTACTGTTTCCTTCCTCAGGAAGGAAAAGAGTAGTAGGAGAGGAAGGTCAATCTTTGTTATATCTACTAAATTTCAGCTCAGCAGCTGAGTAGCAGACTCTTTATCATCACAGAGTACAAACCCCTAACTCATATCTAACTAGACTTAGTCTTAATGTAAGCTTCCACCAGGAATGGTGGCTGAACATGCTCTAAAGATAGAAAGGTCCAGATAGAATGAAAGTTCCTTGAGGGAAGGGACTCACATATTTTACTTTTGTCTTCATATCCCCAGAAGCTTTGAACATGAAAGATGCTTAATAAATGTTTCCTCAATAACTCTCGAACTTGAAGGAGGTCTAAAGACCTTAAGGCAAAGAAAATTAATAACCACAAACATCATTTTTTTCCACTTAGGGGTTCCACCAGGCGTAGTGAATATCGTGTTTGGAACTGGGTCCAAAGTAGGAGAGGCTCTGGTGTCTCATCCTGAAGTTCCACTGATCTCGTTTACTGGGAGCACACTGACAGCTGAGCGGATCATGCTAAAGAGTGCCCCCCACTGCAAGAAACTCTCTCTGGAGCTTGGGGGCAAGAATCCTGCCATCATTTTTGATGATGCCCATCTGAGCGAGTGTATCCCTACAACTGTCAGGTCCAGCTTTGCTAATCAGGTCAGGGGAAGTGTGTGTGTGTGTGTGTGTGTGTGATGTTTAGACCTGTTGTTTTTCCTTTTAATCCTTTTAAAAGCTCCTTATTTTGTCATTATATGTTCATATCAAAAAGACAAGTGGGTAGTTTGGGTAATTCCATAAAATGGTGAAAAGAAATAATGTTTATTTTACTCAGCTGATAGGACTATTCAATCACATTGTTGCTAAGTAAAGAGTTAATAGAAGAAAAAGTACTGGATTTGGAGTTGGAGGACCTGGGTTTGAATCTCAGTTCTACTACTTATTAATGTTTTAATTAACATTTTAATCTGGTTTGAGCTATACTTGGCCTACAAGTTGGACACCTCTGCATAGGACATCCTAGTCTTGATTGCACAGATGTAGTCTAAATAAATTGTGTTTCCTCCAAGCACTTCATATCATTGTATTCATATAATAATAATTATTACAACCAGTGATATGCTAGTAAATGTTGAAAAACAGGCTCTCCGGGGGTGGGAGTAGGGAAAATGTGTATATGACAGACATTTAAATTTGATCTGCATTGTTAACATTTTTCCATCACTTTCTTAAATCTAGATAATCAGCAACAAAAAATAAAGCAAGCCCTGATTTTGTAGCATTTGCTAATTTCTTTGGTGTAAATACTCATGTTGAAAATTTTACAATCTCTGCTTGTGAGCAGGTTAGCACTCATTTCAGCACACCCATAACACCAACTCAAATTTATATAGTACTTTATGAATTGTAAAGTACTTTTCTCACAATACTGTGAAGTAGGAAGTACCCATATTATTATCCCCATTTTACAGGCAAGGAAACTGAGGGTCAGTGACTATAAGTTATTTGCCCATGGATCACACAGTAAGTGTCAAAACCAAAGTTCAAACCTGATTGTCTCAGGCCTCAGTTTCCTCATTTGTAAAAAGAGGATTGAACTTGGTGATCTTTAAGGTCTCTTCCAGCTTTTACATTCCATGATTCTATAATGTGCAATGATGTTATAAAAGATTTTGAAGTCTTTAATGCCAGTATAAGTACACATTCCCCTATACTTGGAAAGAATAAATAAGCATTCAAAACACTAGCCAAATATTTGCACAGGACTGTGTTTATTGAAACGATGAGAGCAATGATTCATCTTGATTTCCTCACAATCTTCCTCTCAGAAACAAGAGATGAAAGCAGAGTAATATTTATTGTTGTTGCTATAACTCACATTTATATAGCCCTCTAACTTTTACCAAATATTTCCCTACCAACATCAGCCCTGTGAAATAGTGTACATATAATTATCTTAAATTTGCAGATGAAAAAACAGACCTACAAAGGTTAAGTGACTTGCCCAAGGTCACACAAATTGTAAGCATTAGAGGTAGGACTGTTAAACAACTGTTCCCTAAATCCAGTCCCCTTTCCACTGGCCCATGCTTTTTTTTTTTATTCCTAGGTTAGTACAACAATAGCATATATGTGTGTGTGTGTGTGTGTGTGTGTGTGTGTGTATGTATATATGTATATAAATACATGTATATGTTGAGGTTACATATATTCTCTCCTATACCTCATTCCCTGAGGGCCTTGCTAGGATTGTTGTCTGGATAAAGAAAACAACATGATTTAAGTGTTGATTTGCTCTAGCTGATAAGTCAACAACTCAGTATCTATTTATTAAGTACCTTCTATGTGTGCTACGTATGCCTGGCACTGTGTGCCAAGAACAGGAAATATAAATATAACCAGAGGGAAAGACAGTGCATGCCTTCAAGTAGACTACGTTCTAATAGGGAAAGATAACACATAAAAAGGAGCTAAAATCAGCAAATATGTTGAGTGTCCCTGTTAGCCTACCTTCAAAGGGCTTACAATTTAATGGGAAGCCCTGGGCATGCCTGTACCTACACACACACACACACACACACACACACAGCCTCTAATGATATAAAGCAATATACAAGAAGTGCCAAGTGAGGGCTACAAATGCAAGTCTTCTATCTGTTCATAGGAAGGACAGATTACTGTGGACTGGGGTGATCAGTGCAGGATTCATGAAGACAGGGCTTGAACTGACCTGTAAAGAATTATGTCATTCTTACAATGTTCTTTACCTGTCAGGGTGAAATCTGCCTCTGTACCAGCAGAATCTTTGTCCAAAGGAGAATTTATGAGGAGTTTTTAGCAAGATTTGTTGAAGCCATAAGAAAATGGAAAGTTGGCCCCCCCTCCGACCCTACAACCAGCATGGGAGCTCTGATAAGCAAAGCCCATTTGGAGAAAGTAAGTAAATAGTTGTGTAGTAAAGTGTTCTGGAAAGACTTATAGAAGAAAATCTCTTAGCATGTCACATCACAAGGGAACACTGTGGGAAAAATTTGTTTATTATTATTCAGTTTTAAGAAAGTATGCCCTCTGAAGAGCACAATTGCTACTTTTTACTTGTCTCTGGACAGTTCATGAAAAAGAAATAACTAAATAAACCTGTGATTAAAACAGCCACTACATAAAAGGTACCAGGCTTAGGAAGTCAGCTTCAAGAGGCCGCCCTACTATGTGGCAAAGAAAGAACAATTGTCAGTCCAGTTGATCAACAGTAAACTGGAATACTATTAGGACGAGGCAGGCAGGGAATTCCATGGCCGAAAGTGCTTTATAGAAAATCCCTGTCCCGTAGGTAGCTATAGATGAAGGGTTCTTAAACCTGGAGTCTACTGATACCACACCATTCTCCATGAATTTCGATGGGAAAAAAAAACAACAAAACAAACAAACAAAACCCCAAACTCTACATCTTTAATTTTGCTAACCTCTAACAGAAATTTATCATTTTTTCCAACTATTTAAAAACATCATTCTGAGGCGGGCTCTATCAGCTTCATTAAGCTACCAAAGGGGCCCAAGATACGAATAAAGTTAAGAACCCCTGCCATAGGTGGAATTTGGAAACTGTCTGCAGGAATATCCTTATTCATCTGAATTACTGTGGTCCATAGGTGATGAGTGAGAGCCATCTTGTTTAGAAGTGATTGAATCACCAAAGGGAAATCTATAGGGCTTTGAGATTTAAAAGATTAATTGATTAAGCTACTTCCTTTTGGGGGATTTTTAAATCTTTTTCCTGTAGCCAGAAACAGTTAAGATGTTCCTTCAAATGGGCTATCTCACTCTCTGTCTACAAGTTAGATTAGGTTCAGTGTCTAGGAAAAGTTTTTTGCTTATTGGAGGGTGAGGGCTATGCCTAGACCATGCAGTAGTTTTATTTTTAAAAATCTAGATGTGGAATGAATAACAAAATCAAAACATTTAGTTGAACAAATATTTATTAAGTAATATTAATGTGAGAAACACTGTACTAGGTGCTAGGGGTACAAAGGGGTACAAAAATATCATAATCTTGGGCCTCAAGGGCATTCTTTTTTTGTAGCCAATTATCACTCAGATATCAGAAATAAATGAAAGAATAAACCTCTTTCTTTGGCTGGCTACCATGGCTTGCTTACATGGCTGCCACTAGGTTTTGAAACATAGTCTTCACATCTACTTGTTCATTTTTCTACTGGTAACACAGACTTCTCAGGGAGGAGCTTATTGGGTGGAATGACATTGATCAGTGGGGGTAGATTGCAGTTAGGAGAAGAAAGAGTAGACAGTGTTACTAATTAAGAATTCTTTCTACTTAGGTTAGAAATTATATAAAGAAAGCCTGTGCTGAAGGGGCAAGAATTCTGTGTGGAGAGGGTGTGGATAATTTGAACCTCCCGTCTAAAAACAAAGGGGGCTATTTCATGCTTCCCACTGTGATCACAGATATTAAGGATGAATCCTGTTGCATGAAGGAAGAGATATTTGGTCCTGTTGCTTGTGTTGTTGTCTTTGATACTGAAGAGGAAGTGATTGAAAGAGCTAACGACGTGAAGTATGGCCTAGCAGCAACTGTATGGTCTAACAACATTGGAAGAGTTTGGCGAGTATCTAAGAAGTTGCAGTCAGGATTGGTCTGGACTAACTGCTGGCTCATCAGGGACCTGAACCTTCCTTTTGGTGGAATGAAAGCTTCAGGAATTGGCAGAGAGGGAGCAAAGGACTCATATGACTTCTTTACTGAAGTAAAAACAATTACTGTTAAATATTGATCTTTGCTTATGGAAAAGTTGTTATGGTAAATGTCTTTTAATAGCATGGTTACTATATGGTTGTGAATAGAAATTATAGAATGAATTAATTGAGGATTAAGAGGTTACAGAAAGCAAATAGGCAATTTTGATTATATAAAATTAAAAAAAAAACATTGTTGCACAAACAAATCTAATGCAGCCAAAATTAGACATGAAGCAGGTAAATGGGGAAAAACATCTTTGCATCAGGTTTCTTGGATAAAGGTCTCATTTCTAAGATATATAGGAAATTGACTCAAATTCATTATAATAAAGGCCATTCTTCAATTGATAAATAGATAAAGGATATGAACAGGTACTTTTAAGAGGAAGAAATTCAATCTATCAATGGTCATAAAAAATTATCCACCTCACTAATAATTAGATAAATGAACATAAAGAAGCTTTGAAGATTTACCTCACATTTACCAGATTTGCAAAGTTAACAAAAAAAGAAAATTGATAAATGCTGGAGAAGTTGTGGGAGGACAGGTATACTAATATCCTGTTGGTAGAGCCAAAAACTGGTCAACAAGCCATTTTGGAAAGCAATTTGGAACAATGCCTCAGAAGTTACTAAACTGTAACCCTTTGACAGAGCAATACCACTATGAAGTGTAAAATCCAAAGATATTAAAAAAAAAAAAAGAACTCATATGTACAAAAAATTTTAGAGCCATTTTTTACAGGTATTTGGAGGTGTTTGGGGGAAAATTCAAGCAAGTCACTGCTTTTACTCTGCCATCTTGGTTCCGCCCTCCAAAAATTTTTATAGAAGCTGTGTGTGTGTGTGTGTGTGTGTGTGTGTGTGTGTGTGTGTGTGTGTGAAGGAAATAGAAACTAAAGGAGTCCTTATCTAAAAGGGAAAGGCTAAACAAATTATAGTATGAGAATGAGATGGAATACAAGACAAACAATTCTAAAAGACTTGGGAACTCTGATCAATGCAATAACCAGTCACAATTCCAGAGGACTCATGGTGGAATATAACAGCCACTTCCTCATAAAGAAATGATGAAACATGGCCAATGGGGAAATGTGGATTGCTTGACTATGCATGTTTGTGACAAAGGTTTGTTTTTCTTTTTTCTTTTTTTTTCCTGGTGGGGTGAGCGAAAGAGAGAATATGGATTTTTGTTCATTGAAAAAAAAAACCTTGATTTTAAAGAATGAGCTAATTGACTCAATTCCCCAGTTAGACTCTTCAGCTCTACTGGATCAGTGTTTTGCAGACAGTTGAAAGACAAGATGCTCTCTGTTTCTAGTTCAGGGTAAAGAGGAGGCAAGATTAAAAAAAACTGAGCTACTTTGGGCATCTATGTTCTATTTTATGGTTCTACATCATAGCTTTCTTATTTTGTTTACAATCTTACAGTTTCCTAGATTACCAGGTGCTTCTATGTTCATTTATGGTGATACAAATATATTCCAAATGTAATAATCATTCTTGAAAGTTATCCATAATTGGGAGTGGGGAGCAGGATATCCCAAATGACCTTCTCTTCCATTTGCCTGTATAATTGCTGGGAGCACAGTATATAAAGTGATAAATTTGAAATTAAAAAGACCTGAGTTCAATTCCTGCCTTAGATACTACCTCTATGACCCTGGGCAAGTCACTTCATCTTTCTCAGCCTCAGTTTCTCACCTATAAAACAAAGGTAATAATAGCACTTGCCTCACAGGGTTGTTGTAGCAGTGGTGTCAAACTCAAATAGAAACAGAGGCCACTAAACCTTACATAAAGATTCCTGTGGGCTAAATATTAACTTAGAAAGCCACATATTAATGATTCAACTGTTTTACTGCATTTTTATTTATTTTGCTAAATATTTCCCAAATGCATTTTAATCTGATTTGAATTACATTAGGCACATAGTGGGCCATATGTAGCCTACAGGCCACATTTTTGATCTCTCTGTTCTGAGGATCAAATGAGATAAAATGTTCCATGCTTTGCAAACCTTCAAGTACTACATAAATGCTATTATTATTATTATTATTATTATTATTATTATTATTATTATTATTATTACTGTCATTATCATTGTTTTACATCAAATACCTGAATAAGGCCTAAGTGAGTGCTTAACCTAAAAAATGAGGAGAATGGAAGAGGAGGTCCTTTTCTTAATTGCAACCAGGGGGAAATTTCACAACCAGACAAGTAACAGAGTGTACAAAAGACAAATATATCCTTTTAATCATATATAATTAAACTTTTGCATAAACAAAATCAATGCTGCTAGAACAAGAAGAGAAATGGCTAAGGGAAAATTTTGGCATCTAATATCTCTGATAAAAGTATGCTATATGGATTGATGCTGAGTGAAGTGAGCAGAACCAGGAAAACATTGTACACAGTAACAGCCACGTTGTGCAATAGCTAACGCTGATAGACTTAGCCCTTCTTAGCAACGCAAGGATCTAAAACATCTCCAAAGGTCTCATGATGGAAAATGCTATCCACATCCAAAGAAAGAACTATGGAGCTTCAAGGTGGATCGAAACATAGTATCTGCTATTTTTTTCTTCTGTTACGTTTTGTTTTCTCTTTCTTGTGGTTCTTCCTATTGGTTCTAATTCTTTCTTACAACATCACTAATGTGAAAATATTTTTAATAGGAATGAATGTATATGTATAGCCTATATCAGATTGCATGCCATCTTGGAAAGGGAGGTGGGAAGGGAGGGGGAGAAAAATTTAAAACTCAGAAGCTCATGGAAGTGATTGTTGATAAATCAAAATAAATTAATTTTAAAAATAATAAATAAAAAAGAATGCTATACCAGAAATATAGGAAATTGACATAAATATAGGAGACATATGAGTCATTCCTCAATATGTAAGACGTATGAACAAATAGTTTTCAAAAGAATTACAAATTGTCAACAACCATATCAATATTGTTCCAAATTGATAATAATAAGAGAGATACAGCTTAGAACAATTCTTAGGTATCACCTCATACCCCTAGAAGTAGCCAAAAATGGAAACAGCCTATGTTGGAGGGACTAAAAGAAGAAAAGAACTCTAATACATTATTGCTAGAGCTGTGAAGTAAAACCATTCTAGGAAGTAAACTGAAATTTTGTGAGAAAAATCATTTGTTTCATCATATCTAGTTTTCCCACTACTGTGCTTATACCCCAAGGAAATCAAATGCAGAAAGATCCAGTATTCACCAAAAATATTAATTGTACCTTTTTTTGTTGTAGAAAAAAAAAAGCCAGGGAGTAAAATGAATATCCATCAACTAAGAAATGACTTGCAAATGTTATCAAATCATATTACATTATAAGAAAAGATGAACATGAGGAATTAAGAGAAATATTCAAAGACTTGTATGAACTGATAAAAAGTGAGGTAAGCAGAACCAGGAGAACAATATACACAATGACTCCAATAATGTAAATGTCTTAAAATGGCATGAAAAAGCAGTGGAATTCTGATTAATCTCAATGACCTCTGGAGTTTCCAGTCAACTGATGTGTTTTTCAAAATACATCTCTCCCTCTATTAAATGTAGTATATGTTGTCAAAGAAGGTCACTATATCAGTTGCTTTTGCTTAAAAGTGTTTTATTTTCTTTTAAGGGAGGGTTCTTAGGTAGTAGTGGGGGTGGGGGAAGCAGTTCACTAAAGGGAAATGACTGTGGGGTAAAAACCAAAAAGCTACAATAAAACTATTTTATGTTTTTTAAATGACAGGCCTTTAATAGAACTAAGTGATGGATGGTTTTTCAATTTCACTCTAGAAGAGACCTAAGACACCACCTAGCTAACTCAACCTCCTCATTTTTAACAATGAGGAGATCAGGGCCCTGAGAGGTTAATTGATTGACTTAATGTCCCCAAGTAAGTAAGGAACAATGCCAGAGTTCAAGCCCAAGTCTTTTGTGACTCCAAATTCATCACACTTTCCATAGTTGTTTTCTAACTGCAACTTGCTGGTATCAGACTCAGTGAGAATAGAGTAAGTTATCGTTATGGCCTCAGTTTTTCTAGATTCTCCAGATACTAAAGATTGGGCACATGAACAAAACAAACCCCTACATTCAAATTTTCATACTGATAGAAGAATGGATGAATTCATACAAATCAATGAACAAGTATTACCTATTTAAATAAGTAATTGCAATTCTTAGTTACCTCACCTTTAAGAGATCATATTTTGTGGTAGATGACATTCTTTACAACTTTTCAAAGATAATGTGATTAAAATTAAAAAAAAAAACCTTCCAAAATGAACTAGTCCAAGATATGTGTTGGACTAGTTCATTCCAATAAAGTGCAGACATTTGTCTATGGCAGTGTATGTTATTCTGAGGAACAGTCAGTTTTGGTGAGAGGTAATTAGGGCATAGTGGAAATACAGAGTGACTTGGATTCTAATCTCACATTACCACCAATTACCTGTGCAATATTGAGGAAGTCACATACCTCCTCTGGGTCTCAATTTCCTCATCTATAAAATGAAGAAGTGGAACTAAATGGCTTCTAAGGTTCCTTCCAACTCTCCATCTATGATTCTACAAAGTAGAATATAAATGTAAACGAGTATTATGTGTTCCATTTTTTAATAGTTCCTTTTCTCTTTTCCCCCTTCTTCTACCTTTACCCTGAACTGAACACCTACCCTTCCCCTCTCCTCTTCCATTTACTTCCCAGAATCCTCCTTTCTCTAGTGTCCTAGGCATCCAATGTCCCATCCCCTGGCTATTACTTCCTCCTTCAGTACTTCCCTTCCCTTCATGAGTGTCTCATGTTCTAACTTATTTGCCTCTGTCTCCACACCCTCCACATAGAAAAAGTCTTATTTCCTCGAGGCACTGCAGAGAAGAGATAAAGAAAAGGGAGTTGAAGTAGACAATGTCTAGAGTCCCTTCTCATTCTAATTCAGTACAAACTGATAAAACTATTTCTGATTACTATTCTCCTTCTCCCTCCCACCTTAACCTTCCAGAGGGGGTATTTCTGTACCCCAGTATGTGTGTGAACACAAGCAGTCATTTCCTGGCCATTTCCAAACCATGCTATCTATAATCTGGCCATCTTCCTTGAACTCTTTATGCCAGAACCTGAACTGCACCCCTGGGCCTCTGGGCTCTTATAGGTGAGCTTTTACCTTATCTTGCCCAAACTAGACATCCACATCACTTCCAGCCATTTTCAATCCCCATTATCCTCCCACCCCTGTTTTTTGCACCCCCCCCCTGCCAAGAAGTATTATCTTCCATCATTAAAATTATAGTCCTTGAGGGTTTGCTTCTAATAGTATCCTCTACCCTTAGCATAATGCCTGGCATATAGTAAGCATTTAATAAATGCTTTATCACTGTTCATTCATTTGCCATCATTCATTTCAGGCCTTAGTAACAACAACAGTAATAGTTAGCATTTATTTAGCTCTTTAAGATTTGTCTCAAATGATCTTTACAACAGTCCTGTGAGGTAGGTGCTATTATTTATGCCCATTTCACAGATGAAACTGAGTCAGGTTTTAAGGGACTTATTTGCCCAGGGTTACACAACTAGTGAATGTCTGAGGCAAGATTTGAAATCAGATCTTCCCTACTCTAAGTCCATTGCAACACCTAGTTTCCCCCTGTAGAGAGACATTTTTGTGTTTAAAGCTTAGTATTCAGTCTATTCTTGTAAGGTGACCCTGGG